CATGGATAAGTCTGGGATTTAACAGAACCAAAAAGGTTTGTCAGATTGAGGAAAATGAAAGCAAGCCATATCCAAGAACTCATAGTTATATGCAGTGTTATCTCTAATAACGAGAGAATATAACAATGCGTGTATACAATACGAGTTGAGTTTCAAGAGAACAAATTGAAGAAGAGTGAATTCAGAGGAACAAAAAACAGAACAACAATTTTTATGCTTTAATATTAAGAAATGATGAAACGCAATGTGGAAAAATCAATACACATGACGCGTATTCATTGATAACAATTTAAACACTATTTTCAAATAATCTAAAATTAGGTTTATAGATCATTTGACGCCTGTGTGATTATTTCTGCAACTATAAAAGTTCTATCGAGTTTAAGAAGATCAAATTCATGTCTTACATATTAATTATTATTTTCAGATTAAGGCGATGCAAGATTTTAATTTCTATATTCTTTGCAAGATGATGGCTCCTTCGGGAACACCAGTCATAAAACCTCAAATTGCTCGTTTGAATTTTCTGGACTCTGATAACATAATGAGTTTTGATGTTCCATCTTAAAATATCAAACCTTAACGAGAGCTGTAACTCAAATATTTATATGTTTGTTATATTATTTTATATTTGAATGTCAGCCTTATGTCGAAAGATCATTAACGTGTGAATCATTCTTCAAAACTGGCCAGTTTACGTCAATGTTTTCTTTGTGAGGGAAAAACTATAATGCTACATTAAAATATAAAATTCATTTACAGTGACATGAAACAAAGAAGCAATTTGGTACACGCCTGCCTGAAGCGAGACGGTTCTTTTGAGGCCATTTTTCTAGGCACACGCCTCTCTTCAAATGAGGGGGACATCCAACCTTACCTTAATCGATAAGTAGTTGTAGCAGCATAATCAGCATGTAAATTATAATGTAAGATCGTTGACACTCTTGACATCATATATTGAAATAAATTCAAATCATTGGCAGTTAGATTCAAGTCATAAGCATTCATATTCTGGGCATCACCACTTACACAAAATTATGCAAAGGAGTAAAGTACGTTGTTCACATGGCCAAACAATTGCTAGACAATCTACTTGCAAGAGAATATTCACATAATATCAATAATAATATAATATGTAGATAAGAAAAGAGAATAAATCTGCTTACAAGATAATTGCATTCGAATAAGAACACAATTAAATTAATAAAAAATGTCTTGTTATAATGGATATGCATCTTCTTGGAAGTTACCGAGGATATAACTCACTCATCGAGGCCTCATTTGTTGATAAATGAGTAGAATTATTTGATTGATCTTGGGATGAACGAGTCTCATGAAGAACTGAAATTTCCGGACGAAAGCTACCTGACATGAAAAATGCAGGTGGTGAAGGTACTGGTAGAGTTAAGGAAAAGCTAGAGAGCATGAGAACCACCGATCCCATTGTAGGTCTATCAACTGCATTTTCTTGAACACATAACAAACCGATGTGAATACATCTCATAATATCACGCATGGATCCTGAAGAAGTCCTCAATGCAGGATCTATTATATTTGCAATCGTTCCTTGGTGCCAATTTTTCCAAACCTGTTAGAATTGGAATGTTTAAATACAATAAATATAACCCTTGGTGGCTTAAAATTGCAAAGACCAAACCTTATCATATTTGTACTTACAAAACTTATGAGGTCGTCCATACTCTCCCCATTCTGAAAATTATAAGCTTTTTGACCAGTTATGATTTCCAAAATTAGGACGCCAAAGCTGTAGACATCTGATTTAATAGAGAAGTGTCCATGTATTAAATACTCAGGTGCCATATATCCACTGTAATAGTCAGTTTGTGGGTATATCATTAGTCACGTGTTTAATAAAATAACCATCTAGTTATGTTTAGTTATTAACATGACCATATATGTTTAGTTTTGTGCATCACTTCATATTTTCTTTTCGTAGCAACTATGTAAAAATAAACTAAGTGATACTATGAGACATGCACTTTGTAATATGCTTACTATGTTCCAACT